TGGGCGTTAGGGGAACTCGGGAAAGCAGGGTTAACAGTGAATCCTAAGAAGTGCCGGATTGGCTTAGATAAGGTAGAGTATCTGAGTTACCAATAGGTTTTCACCAGATTTCAATTTACCCTTCATTCTGTTCACCGACGCTTCCGATCAAGTAAGGCAGGGAGTCGAGTACCCAGTACTTTACCTAAGTAGGAAGCTTAAACCCCGCGAAGAGAAATATGCCGTGATTGAGAAGGAGGCCCTAGCCATCCGATGGGCAACACATGCCCTTAAATATTATTTGCGAGGAGCCCCTTTTACGTGGATAACTGACCATGCTCCCTTAAGATGGCTCAACCGTATGGAAGAAACTAACCCAAGATTAACACGATGGTATCTCGCTTTGCAGCCTTTTTCTTTCCATGTCAAATACCGCAAAGGCTTAGAACATGCTAATGTAGATTATTTTTCTCGGCAGGGACCGTGGGCGCGAAGCGAGGAGGAGCGAGCGGCACTCTTGGATGGGGAGGTATGTGAGGCCCCCAAGATGGAGGCCCTGGTAGGAATGCCGTCGCTCCCGTCGAGGGCCCAACCCACCCAGACATCTCCACCTCCTACATCACCGCGTCGGGAAGAGAAAGGAGACCTCAGAATCCCCTATGAAGAACAAAGGGGTAGATACTGGAGTCAATCATGAAAGAATTAAATATTACCCCGAGGTCTGGGGGAACTTTGGCGGGAAGAAAAGGGGAGGAGATCGAAGCAGTGGTGGGAGATATAAGGGGAAAGTGGGAAGAGATACCAAGAGGTTGGGAATCGATCTGGATGGAGGATCCATGGACTCACAAGTGGGAGCAGGTGCGGGTTCCGCGCAAGGAAGCTGAAAAGAGTAGACATGGTCTAGAGGGGCAGGGTAAAAATCAAATAAAAAAATAAAAAATAAATAAAAGAGGCGTCAGCTAGGTCTCAAGCCTCGGGCGTCGTATTGGGGAGAGACGGAGACCAAAGAGTGGAGGCGGAAGCCGAGGGAAGAAAGAGAAGCAGTGGACGTGAGTTGGAGAGGAAAAAGGCATGGCATATAGCCGAGTTACAGAAGTTGGGGGGTTTCCCGGGCCATGGATGGCCGACGATGGAGAGGGGTCGTCTTGGGGGGACTGGAGTGGGGATGAAGAAACCGTTCCCTTAATTGTTTTGGAAGAAGAACTGAACCCCCTTCCTGGTGCTGTGAAACCGTTAACAGGACCGTGGAACTTGGAGAATGCCAATCCGTTTATTAACAGTTTGTGGACACCTTTGAAACCGAGTTTGGAATTACAAGTCTTTGAACCCCTTTTTGAACCCCCACCCTCCTAATGTTGATGTAGCAATAAACACGGAACCGTTTGACTTGTTACCACCGTCTCATCCTTTATTGGAGGTGCCTACAGCTCCAGCCCGGAAAACGAACCTTCACACCTGCCCGTTGAAATCTGCCTGGCATTGTTGCTGGATGGATTCAAAAGAGCCTTGAAGGCCTGGCTCTTCCGCCAAGCTTTCCCGGAGAGTTAAGATCTCGCCCTCCCTTTTTAGCATCCTCTCCATCACCCCTTTGTACCACCTTCATTACCATCTGTTTTAATTTACCTTATTTCGTTAAGTATTAATTTATTTTTATTATGTTTTAATCTTGTTGCTGCCAGATGGTGCGGGATAGGAATTCAATAAATAAACAGCCTTCTCCCACTGCTTCATTGTTTCCCCCCCCCCAAAAAAATCCTGGGTGTACCAGGGGGCAGGACAGGCTTGGCAATGGACATGGCGCTCGGGGTGCAAACGTGTCAGTGGCCCAGGGAGCTTCGACAGGCGTCCCAAACAGGTCAGCTGGAATCCCTTGCACGGCAGGCTAGAATCCCAGAGGATCCAGTAATCTGTGAGGGTGGATCACCTCAATGGGTCCCCTTCTCCCCACCGCGTTGGATCCGGGGGGGGGGCACGTTGAATCAGGGGGGGTCCGACAAAGGGACTGAACCCATGGTCCGTCACCCTTGGCCAACCCATCCTCCCTTCTCCCTCCCTCCGTTTTCCTTCCTTCCAACCCCATGGCTCCTTGGGGCCTGATCCCTCAGCAGGGGCCCGATCCTGGCTGCTCCGAGGAGCTGCGCCCCCCCAAATAAAACTCTTTGTTGCTCCTTTTGCTGGAGCCAATGGGGGGGGGTCTGGCTCTCGCCCCCCCCGGGCGCCCACACAAACACAGACACACAGAGGCGGCGCTCGGGCCCCCGCTCCTTCTCTTCCCCGCCCCCTCCTCTTCTTGGGGGGGTGGGGGTGGGGTGGAGACTCCAACTCCCAGCATGCACTCCGCGGCCCGGGCTTGCCGCGCCCGGGGCATGCTGGGGGATGCAGTCCCCCCAAGAAGGAACTTTGCCAACCCCTGCATTGCAGCCGCCGCGGCTTCGGGCGCTTNGTTCAGAAACTTTGCTTTCTTTTTTTTTTTTTTTTTTTTTGCAACCTTTAATAATTATTTTTCTCCAGAAAAAAAAAATAAAGGGGGGGGGCGGGGCGGGAAATATTCTTTTTTTTTTTTGCATTTTTGCAAACTGCTCTCTCTCCCTCTCTCTCTCTCCCTGCCTCCAGTCCTGGGGAATAGTCCAACTGTCTGAAGGTAATTTTTGGAGTGGAAACAGTGGGAGTTCTTGGAACTTTCGTGGGGAGTTTCTTGGTGACAATAGTCAGCCTCGGCTGAGCTGCCTCAGGCTGCTGTTGTGGGGGTCATGAAAGGGGCAATACTTCTGTGTAGAAATCAGGGCCTACCAGAGATGGAAATATTTGTTTCTCAGGTTTTGTCTTCAAGCAACAGAATATATTGACCAACCTTAGCTAACTAGTAATAGCATCCAGAGAGACTCCCCTGGAAGACCAGTTTGGTCATAACTGCAGACATTAAGACTGTATGGACCAACTTCCAAGAAGCCACAGACAGCATGGCCAGGGGTGAGAGGTTCTGGAAGTTGACATCCAAAACAGCTGGAGGGGGTGGATTTGAGAATCAATTCATATGGAGATGTTGTGAAGGCCAGGAAGCTTGTTCAACTCCCAGCACCAATCCAAACCTCTTTGCAGTCTGAGGGGAGGAATGATGACACCCTTTCTTATTCCATGCACAAAAGCTGGCAAGACTGGCAGCTCAATATTTCTTCAACACTAGTGGTGGGAACATTGCCCCCCCCCAAAAGGCAGCTGGTTAGTTATATTTTGAGTGTTGTAAGGGAAGATATAGGAAGGTTTGGCAATGGTGGATCAAGTCTTGCCCTGAGGCAGGGTCATCCAAGTGTACAAACCCTCATCCTACGCTTCCACCTGCAAGCCATCTGTGCACTTTTAAAAAAATGTTCTCCAGAGTGCTTAAAAGATACAGGGAAGGTGGCCTTTTCTGAGATGTGCCTATGCAGTTCAAGAAACATTGATCAAAACACAGAACATAACTATACACTGTATAGTGTAATATAGTGTATAGTGTAATGTCATTATGTGCAATTTAGTTTTGCAAAACTGGTTAAAGTCTTTCATATCCTATGGCATTTCTCAAATCTGGATTGGTTATGAAAAACCTGTAGGTTCTTCAAGGAACTGTAGTTTCTTGTAAGAGTTCATTTGGTCAAAAGACTTGGCAGGTGTGCA